CTTATTTTCAGCATGAAATCAGCTAGATCAAAAGTAACTTATCTCATAAATTAATTAAGAGAAATGCTTCTAAGAGGCTTGTAAAATATTTTAAGAGACACACACATAAATAAAAATCGGGTCACATCCACACAACTATTTAATTGATAAATCTATCCCTGCTGTATCTTAAAGAACACACTTTCTAAAAAGTCCCAAATATCAAGAGCTGATCTTTGGTCTAGCAGTGCATGCTCACAACACTAGTGCCATATGAAGACCTACTTACCATAAAGGTCAGGTTTATTGGTAATGACTCAATGACTCCAGATAACCTCACAGTATGTTTTTATGTTTTATGTTCTGAGATCATGCTATGTGTTTGTTTTATTGTTGCCTGCCTGTGACCAGTAAAAGAGGATACTAGAAGTGATGACGGAAAGCCTGAGCCCAGTTTGTTTCCTTTCAGACAGCACTCAGTAAAATAAAAACCAACATATCTTTTGAGCTTTGCCTCATCAATTTTGGGATCTAATAAAGTCATCCTTACCACTTAAAAACAGACTCTGAAGTGGTAGAGCAAAACAGAGAAGTTAAAATATGCTTTCAGACACACTGCTGTATTGGACATTATTTAAATATATTCCCCACCCTACTAAGGCAGGGTAGACAAATGGCTCAGGATAGCTGGGTTTAATCCCTGGAACTCAAGAAAGAGGAGACTATGAAAGAAGGGACTCCAAAACACTTTTCTGACCTCTCTAGATGCTCTGTCTCATGCATATGCATTCACAAATAAGGAGAGAGGTACAATCTTGACTTTTACACATGGGAATTTTGATCTGAACTCAAGCACAGCTGTAACCCTCCTTTCAAAAGGCATAGGACTCACCTCCACACCTGTACCTTGAGATACCTCCAGGATGCCTCCCCTTCTTTTCAGCTGCCACCATGCCATAAAGGCTGAAGACCCACAAAGGCTAAGTCACATCAGTAAGCACTGCAGGCATCCAGGAGGTCATGGGAATGCTGGAGTTATGCTTCCCCACAAGACTAACTTAGACAAAGACCACCCAGGTGGGAAAGCTGGTCTGTGTACCACTTGACGAGGAACCAGAGCTCCTGCCCAACTTGTCAACCTGGATAAACTGTACACTGGTCAGTGAGCGGACAAGGGTCTCCACTGCAAACACCAAGACTGGAGCCTGTTATTAGGAAGGCCAAATTCTTCTGCAGAAGAGCTGAAGAGAAGAGGAAGGGGTGTTGGAGGTACCTGTGTCCTGGTGGCTTGAAGCCACCCGAGGAAGTTCAATAAACAATGACATAACCAAAACAAAAAGAAAAAAAAAGCACCTAGGACAGAGACAAGAAAAATCAAAATGTATTTTAATTCCTTTCGACCAACAGTGTCATTTGATTAGCAACTAGGATGTTATCAAAACAGATTTTCTTTTAGCATCTCCAAAGGGAAAAAAAAAGTGAGTTATGTCCAGAAAAAAAATACAAACGCTTGGAGCTAGTAAAATTATATGAACTGTAACAACAACTTTAAAACAAACAAACAAACAAAACCCCCCCCCCCCGAAGGTTTGGGATTGAGCACACATTCTGTTATTAGTCTCCATCACTGTTAATCATATATAATGGTGCTGTCTGCACCTTGTCTCAAGGTCACAGAGGACCCTGGGCTGTGAGTGTAGCTGGAAGTGTTTGCCAGCTACATGAAGACCTAGGTTCTGCCCCAAGCTCGCCAAATAGAAGAGGAAATGAAATCAATAAGCTCACAGTGTGTTCAAAAACCTAAGAATCCTTTACGTTTCTCCTTTCTACCGTTAAACCCAGGGAGGAAATTTTGGCAACAACTTTTAAATTGGTAAGGGGTGGGGGAGAGACTGGTTCTACAAACATGAGAAATATCACAAAGACTTAGACCGTTTGTTTCTGTATACCTGAAGGTCATGACTCATTTACCAAGCTCAGATCTGAGTCAAGACAGCATCTATTCGTGATTTTGGTTTAAGAAAGCTAACAGAAATGTGAACTAAAAACAAAGAATAGAATTCAGGCCAAAAGGCAACTTATTTTCATGGTACTATTCATTTTTATTAGAATTAAAATAGGCAAGAGATCCCAATGTGTGTGCTTTTAGAAAACAATTCACCATTCTGTTCAAATGCACGTAAGCACACTAAGGCTGCACGATTCAGCCTACAGTGTGTGCTACAGTGATTGGTCCTTTCATGTGTCAGTTACTACTTGGAGCTGCTGATTTGCTGCCACCTTGAATGCAGCCAGAATTAACATTATGCAGAGCTTTAAAATACTTTTTCTGTGTAGAGAAAAAAAGAGGCACTAATTAGAAAATATAAAAGTTTTATTTCGGAATTTACATGAGCCACAAAACATTTTCAATTATCATTTTACTAATTTAACAAAATGCCTATGGGCCACATGTGTGACAAAGTTCAGGAAGCTGGGTCCAGTCCGTGGCTAGTTGTCTACCAGGGTAGGAGCAAGGCAAGTTCAATTCTGTAGCAATGGAGTCCTGATTTTTTTTTTAACCATATTTTCACTTTTGCTGAATAAGCCCCAAACTGACCTTCTGTGTCAGTAAGAAACACCCCTGAAGTCATATACTTGATGAACTGTCTAAGAATTTGGACTTTTGGAGATGGGATGAAAGCACAGGAGCTAACCCTCTGGAAAATGGCTTTTATATAAAGTCTCTTTACTAAGACACTAAGATTTACTAAGACATCTAAAGGTTGATCATCACAAATCCAAAGGTTAGTCCACTTCTATTCATGCAATATGAGAGTTTAAAACAACAGAATTTGATTCGGTAAAAGAAACAAGATTCAAGATGACTGGAATACAATTAAAAATGGACTGAAACCAGCAGTGCCACCTGCTGGCGTAAAGGGAAATGCAAACTGCACCAGTACACGGGAAACAGTGCGATCCAGGCAGTGCACTGCTGCAGAGGATGGAAATCAGTGGTAGCTACACCCATGCTTCCCTCTCCAAAACACAACTATGAGAAAGACAAACACCTGTAACCATGTGAGACAAATTAGTACTGAGTTGCCAAATAAGTTAACCTAAAAAAAAAAAATCTGTCAAACATAACCACACTAAATTCCAAATCTTCACTTAGGATCCCACTATATGTTATAGGTAAACCAATTGGGTCACTGGAGGGGTGAGGAGACACGGGCAAAAGAAATCAGTCAACTGTGGGATTGTGCTGTTTTTTTTTTTTTTATTGTGTTTTCAATGGAGAAATACATCATCTGTTTACAAAATAGCTCTTGAAAAATACAAGGAGTACAGATACTATAAAACAAAGCAAACTCCAGTCATGAGACACTACTTACATCATGCGAAAGCAACAGTCTGATCTCCAGGTTATGAAAACTAGAATTAAAAGTCACTATACAGAAAAGATCCACGTCTCCAGCCTGGTGAAACTTGGATGCAGTTACATGGAACGTTTATTAAACTGAATTTTTCCCAATGTGTAAACAAAACGACAAGACTAAATCTGTGCCTGGTGATGTCAATCTAACTCTGAAGCTACACACACGGACACCATTACACGTCACCTGTTAGCAGACCGTCTTCTTTACTCAAGTGGTGGAGGAAGGGCAAGGTGACTGCAGAGCAAGAGGTGGAGAGTAGAAATACTGTATATAAACGATGTAAGTAGTAAAAAGAAAGCCTTAATTAATGCATAGCTTAAGGGGAAAGACTCTACTCCAACGTTGGAAATCAATTTAGAAGGACAGGGAAGAGTTTAAGTAATTGCAGTTTAACATGAGAATGCACAAATATGAGACAGAATGCAGCGAAATGGAGGATTCAAAAACCATGCTCACACAAAGATCTGCTGCTACAGGTTTGCTTTATCCAGATTAAGAAAGAGTAAGTTTATCAAAATCTGGCATCCCTCAGACGTCACAAAGATGGACGAGAATTCTGCTACTTAATTATGAGAAATTATTGTCTTTAAAGGAGGTTTCTAATTTTTTGATAGAACAAAAGATTCAAAAGTGGAGAGCTGAATGTCAAGTGCTTGCTAGAAATGATTTTAAAATGTTTCTGTATGTAAAATTCACTGACAAATTTTGATAAACTGGTTAAAAATAAAAATTAGTTTAAAAATCTGGAAGAAAACGCCTTTTGCCCACCTTTAAAATTGAAAATCAATTTGTCCAAGACAGAGTTCTGTGGAGTGTACAAAAGTCCTCTTAAAGATCAAATGGCAATCCTTGGGAGATGCTTCATAGGTATGGCTTTCAGTCATTCTCAAGTTCCAGCCATGGGACCAAAATTAAGTGTTCTGTGCCATGTAGCACAGGGTCACCGATTTCATGTCATGGCTTAGGAAAATACTGGCATTCTGGTTTCTGTGTAGTAAGCCTTACCTTGAGCATACAGGCAAAAGGGGAAAAGAATAGCAAAAAGGGGAAGAGGAAGCGCTTTTGTTATTTTGAAGATAATAGACTGAAGGCAAAAGAACACAGAGCTTCAGAAAGCTCAAGGACCGCACTGTTGGCTGACTGCTGATTTGTATGCACTATAAAACAACTCTATAAATAAAAAAGAAATATATATTTCTTAATCATAACCCTATCCAAACCAAGTATCTCTTAATTCTTCTTTCAGTGTCCAAAGTATACCTTAGCATTGACAATTTACCCTAAGGGTCACAACTGCTCTTAAGGACGGAGCTAGGTGTCCTCTCGTCCTCTCTGAGGCAGAGCAGTACACCACAGCACAAGGTATCCAATTTAAAGACTAACTGTAAAGAAAATTCTTTGGGGAAAAAAAAATTTGAAAATCCATTAAGCTGAAAAATCTAAAATTAGTTCTACCTTCTAATAAAAAATACATAAAAGTGCATCATCAGAATAAGGAATTCTTATGCCAGTTTGTATTGCAAATTTTCCAAACAATGCATCACACATAAACCCAATCTGGATGTCAATTATGGATACAAACATAGTTTGAGGGCTTTGTTTCTTTTTTCTTCTTAAAGGCAGTAATTTTTCTGAAATAGTTAATGCAACTGTTGCTAACACAATAATAATAGTACTCCTGGCTTCGCATACTAACCTGGACTTCTGATCAAGTGCTGATGAGCCCAAGTAAGGGAGGTCACCAAAAACCTAAATCCACTGTCAGTCATGTCTAGTCTTGTACCCTCCATTCTCCTTGTTTTGTTTTTTCTTTCTTTTTCTTCTTCTTCTTCTTTTTTTTTTTTTTTAAGCATCTGAAGACAACAGGTTGAGTTGGCAGATACTTTTTATGGACCCTGAGGTGGTTTTTACCGATTCAGTCTCAGTTTTATTGAATTCTTTATAACAGGAATAGGATTTGCAGGGAGAGCAGGGATATCAGAAAGGTCTGTACTGGATGTTTTCTGAGAAGAAAAGCAAAAGAACACATCATGATTTAAAGCACTGTGACTTACAATGGGATGTATTTCCTGCTGCTTTATTATCTAGGAATGGATGGAGCTTTATTATGAGAGGCAAGCATTCAAATTAAAAGAAAAAAGCAATTCTAAATGGTATAAAACGTAATGTGAATAAACATTAACTAGTACAATCACACAGTCTAAACTTGCAGAAAATTTCAAAAGCAAAAATATTAACAGTATTTAAGATATATCAAAAACTCTTCTAATAATTTCAAAAGCAGCTCTCAGAATGTTTCACTAAAAATCATCTATAAATAATATTCGACAATGTGTAGTTATGATACTAGCAGCTCCAACAAGAAGAGGTGTTGGAGTGCCCTCATGTGGAAGAACGTTTAAATTCACCTGATACACAGAAGCAGCAGTTTGCAGTTATCTTCTCACACTATAAATTATAAAACTGACTGTATAACTGAACAATAATTTAATTAACTTTTAATTAACTTTTGGGGAATCTGCATTACACAGATTATATTGCAAGGTATCTTTAACATTCAAAAATACAGAGATAAATCATAAATGTTTTATGAAAAATTTCCCAAGAGACACAGAGGTTGAAACATTAGACAATGAGTCTCATGTTCTCCTCACCTAGTGTCAGTAACAGGTAATTCAAAGCCAATCTACCTTCCTTTGACCTTTAACCTTGGATTATTCTGAAGCAATGGAAATGCTACCAGTTCATCTGTAATTATCTCGAGATGTAGCAATGCTGTGTTTAGATACTACCACTTCCTCAGAAATAAGTCCTTCCACATAATCACAGGATATAAGATGCATTCTTTAAAAGCAGAATAATCGAGGTGGGTTTTCTTAGCTACCTCTCATAATTTTGGTTGATGAAAGGTACAGAGTTAAAGTTATTTCAGAAATTAGATAGAACACTGATATTGGAGACTGTGGACGTTAACACTCATGAAGAGTATGTTTTCCATGACCACATGAACTCTTGAGTCAGAGCAGAACATCACGGGTGGCACCTTGCTCAAGGATACTGTTCAGTTAATCCAGTTAGTAGTACTTCGAGAAAACAGATTTTTTTTTTTTTTTGTGCCCAAGTTTGACCTAGATTCTAGTTTTTTCCTTTGTTTTCTAAGGATTTTAAATCCCTTTAAAAGGATTCAGGAAGAAAACAACTGTTTCAGAAGCAAAATGAAGGCAAGGCAAGATCACTAGTATACTAGGAAATATCACAGCAAAACACTAGCATTAATCAACTAAGGTGTCATATACTGTATAATGAATAAATAAAACCATTACTAAAACTAAACTGAAACAGAAACACACTTTAAAAGATCAGTGAGCCAAAGGTAGATCAGGAGATCCTACGCTACATAGTAAGACCTTGTTTCAAAAAAAAACCTATGTTTAAGTAATGACTAAGTGAAGTAAAATGAAAATCTCTGTAAGCCTTGTCAACGGTTCTGTAACAATTTTTTGTTCTTGGTTTTACTGTCGTCAGGCCTTGACCTATAAATAACATACATCATCAAAACATGACAGCTGAGGAGCTGAAGGACTTCCAGTGTAACAGAGCAGCTACAGCTGCCTCCTTTGCCTCTGATGGGTTCGCACTACACAGCTCAGCAGTTTCAGCCCCAGAACCCTGCATCTACATCCCAGCAGACAACTCCAAGCTAGACAGAGCATTCTAACAGCTCAGAGCAGCAGCTCCAAATCCTAGCATTTGCTAGCTTTTAAACTCCAGAAAATTTACAGGCTTCAAGTAATTACTTCCCAAACAAAATTTTAATAGTCTAACATGAACACTCAGTTCAAATCAATATACCAATAGCAAAGTCACTAACAAAACTCTCCTTGCTTTTGCATTTAGTACCTGAGAGGCCAACAGAGAAGTTGACGCAGAAACAGTTTCTGATTGAATCGCATTTGTCTCCATATCAACTTGTTCCTGGGAGACAAAGGATGGGGAGAAGGGAACAAGGACGTTAAAAAAATAATAATAAATCAAAGAGTATAAATGGGCATGGTGGCTAATAAAAAAGACAAATTAGCAAAAGGAAGATGAAGAGAGATGTACTTACATTATATGACAGTATGTCATCAAGCCCTGTTATAGGTCATTTCCCAATTTCAGACATTATAAGGTGTGGTCAAAATAGCTCATAGTTCCCAAATAGCTCTACCTTGGACATTTTAACAAGTACTAATTAAAGGTATGCACAGGCACTTTAGAAAATGTTACCCAGACAATAATTAACAGAACATAAATCCAAAGAAAGTTCTTAACTATGTGGGGAGAAAATGCATAATGTTAGTATATAAAATTACTGAGAGGCACAAAATTTGCCCCACATCTGTAATTAAAGTAGCAAACATGCCTGTAAACTGTCCTTTCCTTACGGTCTCTCCTACCCTCCTCTGCCTAACAATCAATTCCCCAGTTCTACTGTGAGTGCCATCAGTCAACCCCTGGCAAACTGTGTCATCTCATGGCACCTTCACTCATCGTGTATAAAACACACACACAAATGGAAACACAGATAAAAACAAATTTTTAAAATGTGAAAACAGGAAACAACACTGCTTTACCTATGAAACTGAAAAGGGCAAACAAGAAATAAACACCAAGAATGGAAGCGGTGCCTTTCAAGGGGACTATATGGAATATGTATCAATTTCTTAAAAATTTATTAAGTAAGTATAACTGAATGGCAGATATTTACAGTAAGGCAATACTGCAGTGGGAAGGTGCAAACTTGTTTTCAATGGGAACAACTGCCAACAATAAGCAACTAGTTGGGTAAGGTGTAATTAAAAAAAGTTCCAGTGCTGTCATTATGCAGATTATGTAACAATCATATTTTCTTGATTTGCAAAGTGCATTAAAAATAGTAAGGAAAAGGCACTGGTACATATGCATACACACAAAGCTTGAAAAACACCAAAAGGATACTGATTAATTCATGGAAATAAAATTCATGGGAATTTGGCTAAATTGAGAAAATTAAGTCTTTGGTGTAATTCAATTTCTAAAACTATGTCTTTCTCAGTTTTTCAGTTTGAACACAACCAATCTCTTCCTCACTTATCTACCGCATTCAAGTAGAAAACTGCTGAAAATGAGTCTTCTCAACAAACCCCACTGTCAGACCCAATAGTAGAGCCTAGAGTCTCAGACTACCTTGAGTTACAAGCCATCAGGCAAATACTGCTTCAAAAGAAGGTTACCATCTTTTCAGTCAAAAGCAACACTTCCCTTCTTGCCCACACAGCCCAACCCTCACTCACTTGTACTGTCACTAGTACTCAAAAAACCCTTGCACCATCTTATCTAAGTTCCTGTCTTACAGACTGTGCTATTCCCAGTTTTAAGCATTAATTGATATTAAAAAGAAACCAAGAGGTCTCCAAAAACAGTAGTAAGAAAACCCCACACTCCAGTGAACAAACAGCGCACCACCAACAGGCACCTGCACCATATCTGCACTTCTACCCAAAAGGCTAAGTTAGTATACCTTTGTTTCTGTTTTATCATGTCCACTCAAATCAAGACAGTTAGCCTCTTCGCTTGTTTCATCCTGTTTTTAAAAAAAAGAGCTTTATTCTCCAAAATGAAAAATTTAGATTATTTGCCAATTAACGCTTTAATTTTATAAAGTTTCAAAGCTATAAAGATAAAATATTCTTAAAATAGATCACAGACTCTTTCTACGGGGCCTTCTGAGAGAGTAATTTAACTTAGCTTTAATAAGCACCAAAATTTTTAAACATGATAAAAACTGTTTTTGTCAATCCCATCACATAAAGTACATTACCCAAACCACAAAGCTCATGAAATATTTTTTTCTAAGGAAAACATAGTTCCCTGATCAAACAACCCTACAATGAGAATAGCAGGATCCCCAGTGAAGGAAGCTCACTGTGCCCATTAGTGCACCAAATGACTAGGAAACTTTATACAGAACATTCTTTAACTTGCCCAAGCATAACCACTCTAGAAACACCCATGCACACAGGAACACACACCCTTTCTCAGTAAAGCATCAATAATGGAAAAGAATGCAGGGCCTGAGGTCCTCCTTGGGTCTTACAAACTATACTAACACTGTATTTTCTTGACTTTGTTAACTAAGGAGTTCATTTGTGCATCTGCACAGTGCATGTGCATTGAGTGTGCACACAGAGGCCAGAGGTGCGGTTCCTCATGAGTCAACCACCTTCTTAGGGGACCATCTGTACCCTGATAATGGGAGGTCAAGCATGTGCTACCACGCCTGGCTTTTTACATGGTAGTGAGTCCTTGTATGTCATAGAAAAGGCTATATCTCCTTAGTCCCTAATGTTTTAAAGAAGTTTTTTTTTTTTTTTAAAAAAAGCAGAAACCACAGGTAACTTAAATAAAAAATAATACAGTGAAAACTAAATTTAATAATGGCCTTGTTTCTTACAAACAAGTTAAAAACACACATTTGTTTAATATACAAATACTGACTACAGGACACACTTCAACATAATTATTGATCTTGCTGTGACACATATACTTCTATGACTGTTACATGCCCTAAATTATAAACACACATTCAAATACTTAATGATTGAAATCAGATGCCTGAATGGAGAAAGGCTATGTATGAAACAAGGCTGATGAGTAGTTAACTGTTGAGACTGGGTGACAATGTAACTTTTCTACATGCATAAAGTTTTCAGGGCTTGGAGGTATAACATGATGGAAGATGAGTCCAAGTTTGCAAATTCCCAATACCACATACATAAAAATCTTTAAAAAAAAACTTTTAAAATACACTACATATCTTAATTTAGGCATAAAATGTAATAGAAGAAACTTACCATGCTTACTTTATTGGGATACATGAACACACTAAGCATCTCTAAAACCCTCCTATATACAGATGGATGACGACAATTCCCTATTCCCACCCGAGATTTCGTCTTTGAGATGGCGTCACTATTAAGTCCATGCTGGCCTCCTATTTCTCTACACTGATTGGTGAAATGACAGCACGTGCGATCATGCCCAATACATCAACAGAAAACAAATGACCCAGTTAAGGAGGGTTATACTATAATATACTTACTCAATTACTAACATGAGATGCCTAAACTAAACTAAAACTAAAATTAGTTTTGTAACCGTGAGACATTGAGCCTTGAGTGCTTCCACTGGGAAATAAAACCAGCCCACAAAGTGAGCAACACCCTCTTGCACTTTAGAAAGTTCTATGACTGTGTTAACTGGTTCTAAGGAACTAATGAAATTTTGAGAAAATTTATAAAGTAAAAAAATACTTAAGAAAAAAGGAGGAAGCCTGTATTTTAAAGGATATTTAAGAGACAGCAAGAAGTTATAATATCTTACCTTTTTTTGGCCCCATGTTTAAACAAGAGGCTATTTTTAAAACAGTGAGATCAGAGACATCCTATTATCAAGCAAGCTAATCTGACTGTGCTCATACTCTCTTACAGATGGGATTTGTTTGTTTGTTTGGGAGACAGGGTTTCTCTGTGGAGCTTTGGGTGTCCTGGAACTCACTGTGTAGACCACACTGGCCTTGAACTTACAGGGATACACCTGCTTTTCTGCCTCCTAAGTGTTAAAGGTATGCACCACCACTGCTCCACTACAGATATGATTCTAAAAATTTTAATATACAATTCTAGCGAGTAACAATAACACTGTGTGGATTCTGTTATAGAAGAACTTGGGGGAGAGGTAAAAGGAGGCCAGGCATGAAGATCATGCCTACTAAGCCAGCACTCAGAAGGGGGAGGGAGGGAGGGAGGATGCTACAAGTCTGAAGCTGTTCTGTACCACACAGAACAACCACGGCTAAAGTTTAAAAAAAAAAAAGAGTAAATGTAAGGCTGACTTGAAGGCAGTGCTGAGCTCATTAGAAATGCAGCAGCATCAAATGACTGTGTTTGTGTTATCCACACCAAAGGTAACTTTATACCCCACTGCTGCTCTAGGCCAGGGAGCAGAAGTACCAATGCAAGTACAGAGTGGCAAGCCATGTTTGTGGACCCTCATTCCCCACAAAGCTCATAGTGCTGCCTATCACAAGGAGATCAGGTGTAGAACTCAGAATCTATTGTGAAGGTTAAAAAGATTCTGTCAGGTAGTGGTTCACATCTGTAATTCCAGTACTAAGGAAGCAGAGGCAGGAGGATCACCCTAAATTTGAGGACAGATTAAAGTACCAGGATTTTGTTGTTGACGTTTTGTTTTTCGAGACAGGATTTCTCTGTATAACAGCCCTGGTTGTCTTGGAACTTACTTCCAGGCTGGCCTCAAACTCAGATTCACCTGCCTTTTCCTCCCAAGTGCTGAGACTGGAGGTGTGTGCTACCACCGCCAAGTACGGCTTTTGAGACTCCCTCAAAGACCAATTTCCAAACCCACTTCCTAGAAGTGCTCTGACACAGAATATCAGCAAGTCTTTAATATGGCTACCTAAAACAAACAAATAACAAGACTCAGCACTCAAGAGACTAAGGCAGGAGTCAAATAAAAACATTCTAAAAGAATAAGCTACCATAAGGGGCTTATGAATGTAATTCTGTAGTAGGGCCTCCACCTAGCATACCTTAAGGCCCTGGATTATATCCCAGCACCACAAGAACATTTACCCCACCCCACACACAAACACACCAGTTTTCAGAAACTATCTTATACAGTCTAACCATTTCATTCTACTTTAGCAACACAAGTAACAACATCTAAGTTACTCCATTAACTGTAAATATTCTATCTAAAACAAAGGCAATGGATTAGAAACTTTTTATCAATACTGCTCAAAGTGTAATGGATACCCAAGAGAAACTGAGATTCTTTTTCCCATTCTAAAGAAAGTTCCTGAATAACAAATTCTAGGGCAGAATTCATCATTGAACAGGTGACTGGGGACTGATACCTCTAGGAAATGGTGATGTCCTACTAAAAAGTAAACAGTATGGGAGTAACTCCAGAGATCTGACTTTCACTATATTAAGACTAATACTAAAGGAGTGTAGGGCAGTTCATTAGTACAGTGCTTGTATGGCACCCTCAATGACCTGGGCACAGATTTTCCAGGACTACAACAAACCATTCATAAAGACTCAAGCAGTCAACACAATATCCAGTAGTTTCCCAGCACTACTTGCATCTCAGCACTGTTTTGACAGGACTGTTAAAACACTGATGAAAAGCTTCCTGGAGAACTGGTAACCCTAAACTAACCTGCCTTTGCAACTTGTTCAGTTATTAGACTAAACCCTGAGGACTGGGACTGTGGATTTAAGTTTCCTCTGCAGGAATCCCTAGTAGTCAGCTAGAGCTGTTACCCTCTGCAACCAATTAGAATATAAAACTCTATATCTGAGATAAAGGCAAAACATTGTCAAAAGAGCCATAGAAGATGGTACAAATATATAGTCACTGGAGAATAATAAATTAGGATATTAATTGTATTATTTGCGACTACTGCCAGATGTGGCAGCTCCCAGAGTGGGAGTGGTAGGGAGCCCTACTGCAGTGAAGCAGAGCTGCAGGGTCTTTCTGAAAGTGTTCCCCACTAAATTCAAGAGCAGGCGAGCAGGACTGCCACGACTGTATCTTTTCGTGTATGTATGTATGCACATATACCTCTTCTGTTTTGGTTTTCTTAGGACTTTCTTCTTTATGGGGTGAGGATGTTCTCTTGACTCCTGCTATAGGATTAGGTACTTTTGTTGCTGCATTTCCTGAAGGTCTAGGCGATGGGTTTACCAGACGTGTTGAGGAGACAACTCTGGAGACCGTAGGCTTTGGTGGTGGAGAAATGGCTGGCTGTGTGGCAGTTTGAGGAATGCTTTCACTCGATGGACCTAAACAGTAAAGATACAAGCATACAAACTAAAATCATTAAACATCAAGTTACAAAGAAAGTTTGTCTCTAACTTGTTTATGAGTTTAACTTTACTTTATAACTTTAGATGTGCTATTAAAAGCCAGGTACCAAGCAACACCTATAACCTCACATACAAGGGGTGACATCAAGAGCATTAGGAGCTTGGAGATTAGTCGGGGCTAACAATAAACTATGCCTCAAAGGGGGGAGAGGGCGCTGGAGAGATGGCTCAGAGGTTAAGAACATACACTGCTATTGCAGAGGACCAGAGTTTGATTCCCAGCATCTACATTAAAAGGTTCACAACCATGTGTTAATTCTAATTCCAGAGGCTGTTTGGGATGCCTTCTTCTGACCTCTGAAAACACTATACCTACATATATACATACAGACAAACAGGGACACACACATATACATAAATAAAATCTAAAACCTTTTTCTTACCCCCTGAGCTTTCACTGGAATTTGCTTGTGGCACAGAAACCTCAGAAGCCTGGATGCTGGTCACAGATGCTGCGGTCACAGCTGGAGCAGGACTGTTTCTGCTAAAATAGGAAACAGAAGGGAAGGAGAGGAAGGGGTCAATTAGAGTATTTTTAGCAACAATTATAAATGTTAACATATGCTACATATTTTGTTTGATTTTAGGTTCTCATGCTTTTGTAACAATTAAAAAGCATGTAAAATGCATACATCAGTATAAACATAAACGACTTATGATGTACACTTTACACAAAACAGTAGCTACTAGCTGGGTGGTAGTGGCAGGCGGATCTCTGTGAGTTCAAGGACAAGATCCAAAGCTACAGAGAAACCCTGTCTCAAAAAAAAAAAATTCAAAAACCAAAAGAAAGTATCTCCTAAAAATAAAAATATGGCGCTATTCTTCACTTTAAATATGGACAGTACAATGAGTATTTAATCTGCCAGTGAGAATAGAATACACATATCTAACTTGACTAAGTATTAATCTGAAAACTGTCTAACATGATTAACGACAATCTTGGTTCTAAAGTACCTGCTCTTTGAGTATGACAATTGCTATAAGAAAGAGTAAGAAGTCTGAGAAATGTCTGCAAACAGAAACCTATAGGGATATAAAGAAATCTCAAAGCTCATCTACTGGCCTGAGTATACAGCAGAGACTCAAGGGACAAGTGGCTATTTTACTATTTTATTTTAAACCCCTTTTAAGCCCCTGGTCTCTCTGCAGTGTCCTCTCATCTCAGCAAATGATCTTACTTAGAACTTGACAGTCAGTCACTAGTCAGGAATAATCAAAGGACTCTGGGAAGATGAGTATTAGGCCTGCCTATGCATGCTATCCCACACAGTAAGCCCCCATGTTTTTATATGCCAGTACATCTTCATCTCAAAAAAATCATTCTTCTACTCTTCCATCTCAACTTTTCTGCTCAAGCAATTATTCCATTACCATTTTGTTTGTATGTTTGTTTGTCTTTCAAGGCAGAGGTTCTCTGTGTAGTCCTGGCTGCCCTGGAACTCACTATGTAGACCAGGCTGGTCTCTGTAACTCACAGAGTTTTAATCATTTCTGCTTCCCAAGCACTGGGATTAAAGGCATGTGCCACCACCGCCCAGCATTATATTACCATTTTTTATTTTTATTTAAGACAAGGTTTCTCTGTGTAAAACAGCCCTAGCTGTTCTGGAACTAGTTCTGTAGACCAGACTGGCCTCAAACTCAGAGATCAGCATACCTCTGCCATTCAAGTGATGGGATTAAAGGCATGTGCCACCACCACTGAGCATATTACCATTACCATTTTTTTTTAAAGTTTAAGTTTTGTTTTTTGTTTTAATCTTATGAAAGAAAAAGGCACAAAGTCATCAGGTTACCCACCCTGCAGCACACATTCATACCTGAAGCTGGACAGTAAAGCCAGGACAATGGCAGCAATACTTTTTTGATTTCTGTTGCCATATGTTCACACAGAACAGGATGTTAGCTTTAAAGCCATGGAGACCATTAGAACATAGAAGTAGCAGAGTCAACAGGTGATGACACTCAGGAAAAGATCAATATAGGATGAAAGACAAGTACACAATGAAGATGACAGATCTGTTTGGAGGAAGCTAGGATTATGCAGTAAGAACCTGCCTCAAAAAAGCCTTGTAGTGTTCAACAAAAATAAATTTGTTAAATAACTAAGTAGACGCCTATTTTATAGTTTGTAGGCCCTACATTAATTTCTAACCCTGTAAATAACATACATGAATATAAACATGAATAACATACGTGAATATAAAAAATGTGGAAGCTAACACTACAAATCAGAAACTGTTAAGTGTGACTCACAGGATATATATAACCTATATATATAATATAATATAATATATATAGATATAGACCTCTGATGAGAATATTATATATAGCGAGGCCTGGAGTCTTCCAATAGAGCACGGTTAGTTAGAAAACACCATGTACAAGAACCGGGAAAGGAAACAGTGGACTCTTCACAGAACCTCAGCATTCTCTATACTTCTGTGAACACTGAATATAAATGCAGCTTTATTGTGGTCTCAATCTTAAAACACAGATATATCCTTCTTTGCGATTTAAAACTACTTTGTATGTTTACAAGCATATTAAATTCTCCAAAGGGAAAAAATGCTTCCTTTACCTAAAACTACTAAGAGCAAGCACTTAACCTTCCCTAACAGCAACAATGATTTCAGATGAATTCTATCATGGCACAGCCCTACTGTTGGCTTTCTAAAGAGGTAACAACAACCCTGGAGAGATGAAGGCACTCACAGTCATTCATAAAGGTTCACTGGCCCACAAAGTGAGACATAAGTATAAACAGTAGAGACAAAATTAAAAGTTGCAGCCCTCAAAATAAAAATTTTTAACTGTCACATTAAAAACAAAAGGTCAAAGGAGATGAAAGAGGGAACTGGGGACAAGGCAGAGTAAGACAAAAATACTTAATATGCACATATGAAAGTACTTCAAGGAAGCTTACCATATTGTGTAACTAATACATACTAATGAAAATAAAATTAGAGAAATCACAAGTTAGAATAAAAAGACTATAAGCAGGGAATCTGCCATTATGTTTAGCAAACAAGTACTTACTCCATCCCCTCCCAGCACTCTTGTCTTACCCCTGAGAGCTGCCGGAACTGTTCAATGGACTGGTCTTCATAGCACTAGTGGGTGAAGGCACAGACATGCTGTTATCACTGTCCATAGACAAGTCAAGGCTGCTGTCATTCAGAGCTGTTAACTTGACTCCTTCTGTTGAATGCTGCAGCCAAGAAAAGTTTAATTTAAATGTCTTTATGTAATCAAACTTACATATGACTTCTACTAAAAAGCACTCCGTAAGTCATGTACCTCTTTACTTAACTACAGGTCTGATAGAAAAAAAGAAGTGAACTCTACTTATGCACACTTTTACACAGTATAAATTTAAAACTAGAACAAGAAAGTGCGTGAAACTTCTAGCAGGACTGTTAACACAGGTGCATAATTATAAGTCTCTATAAGCAGGACACTGACAATCTCTCAGGACCACAAGGTTGTGCTGTTTTCAGTATTCTTATTAAAGAAAGCGGCATGGTAGAGTACACCTTTAATCTCAGGGCTCCAAAGACAACGGGCAGAGGTAAGAGGATCTCTTACTCAGAGGCCACTAAGGTCTAAAGAACAAGCTTCATGTCAGTGAGAGCTACACAGAGAAAACTTATCTTAAAAAAAGTTACATGTTGCCCATCTTTGTGTTAGACCCTGGGCTCAGGCAATTCTCCTGTCTCAACCTCTCAATTTTCTCTAAAGTAGCTGGAATTACAAGCATACACCAAACCCAGCATAATGTACAAAATTCTAGTTACTCCACAATCCACATAAAAATTATATAACTAAAGAACTTTATTACATATAGTGGCACCCACATTTACTTCCAACATTCAGCAGCTTGAGACAGGATGATTAGGAATGAAGTCCAGCCAGGGTTATATATTGACTTTTAGGCCAGTTTGGAATACAAACCTGGGCCACAAACAAAAATCATTTATTGCTATTCATTATTATTTTAAAATAATCAACAAAGATCTTTGAAAGCAAAAGATCTGTAATGATCACTGTCCTTTCTTTTGGAGGGGGCACAGGACACATGGACATGACCAGTCTGTAGTTCAGGCTAGACTTTAATTCAGGTTTCCCACCACAGACAGTGAGTACAGATACAGACTGCAAAACAGCTTCATGCTTCTAGTGTTCATGCCAGCTTCAGAGTTCTACTTTCACCCCAGAAAATGATCAATGTAAAAAGATTTCAAACGGGTAGATGGGCTCAAACTACGCCATACAAATATAGTAGGCACAAAGCAATCCAGGTCACAAACTGGTGTTTTATTGGAAACATCTGAGCATGAGTGACAGCAGTCTGTATAAATATACAGATTCCATCAGATATTCTCCTGGAAGATCAAACAGTGGAGAAGATACCTTGCCACACAGTCTATTTTTAGGGCAATACAGACTGAAGTACAAAAAAACCTCAACAAAAAACCCAATTAAAGCTGTATACTAGTTAGCTCAACAGTCATTTAATAGTAAGACTTTAAAGGGTAATAGGAATCCATTGTTCTAGAAAATGTAATTACCTGTTTTAAAAAATGCACATAGCCAAAAATAAAAGAACATACCCCATTTGCATTCACTTCTGAAAAGACAACGTTTCCAGGTTTACTCTACAGTAAACTTCCACCGCAATGCATGTGTTTTAACATATTACTATCAGGACTGTGGTGAGGTTCAAAGGGTTATACATGTTTAGTGGAGATCCTGAATTTGGTCCTCAGCACCGCTGAGCTCCAGTAAAGAAAACCTAATTCATATTTAAGCAGCTTCCAATGGGCATTTCCTTATTGGGCCAGATGTGGGGATGAACATATGTAATTAATCCAACACTCAGGGGAATGAGGCAAGAAGTCTGCAAATCTGAGGCCAGCACTTTATGTGGCATTTTCATGTATCAATGTACCTACCCTAAGTTGTAAGTGATCTTGTAAGAACAGAAGCTAGCACAGCAGTTCCCAAACCATGGGCTGAGACCCTGTCTCGAAAAACTATGGGGAAAAATAAAAACCCTTCTCTGAGATATTCATGGAACTTTAAATGGTTAGAGAATATGGGCACACATAAACCTAGGTGTTAATCAGGACATAACCACTTTATAGTCATGAGACAAATAAAGGGCACAGTGGTGGGAGTGAGATTTCACTGACAAGTTTGTAAAATGTTGTCCTCAGTGAATGGCCACAAGCAGGCCAAGTGCACAAAGCACGGTATTGCTGGTGCTGCCAACTTCCTTACTACCTCACCTTTTTCTTCTTCTGAAGCACGTGACTAGGCAGCAGTTGATGGAGTTGTTTTCTTTTCACATGCATTGCTGCAATCTTCATATCCAACTCAAACATCTTGCTGTTTATTGCTTGCCTATAAACTACACAACCAGACAATGTTATGAAGAACAGAACATTTAGACATCTTTAAATTTGGAGGCAAATGGATGGGGAAAAAAATAAAACTTCCTGAGTGAGGTAACCCAGACCCAGAGAGATAAACAGAGTATGTACTCACTCATAAATGGATTCCAAAAGTAAAGCAAAGGATAACCAACGTATAGTCCACAACCACAAAGAAGCTAGAACTCTGTTCTAGAAATGGATAGAAGCAGATACAGAGATCCACAACTAACCACTAGGCGGAGCTCCCAGAGTACAAAAGAAGAGAGGGAGGAGCGATAATAGGAACAGAGAAGTCAGGGCCATGAGGGAAAACCCACAGAATAGCTGATCCAAATTAGTGGAAGATCATTGACTCTGGATTGACAACTGGGAACCTGCATAGGACCAAAGGAATACAGGTGCCTTGGGCAGTATATGGGGCCACGACAATGAGACCAGGATCTTACCCTAATGCATGAACTGACTTTGTGGAGTCCATTCTCTATGGAGAGATACCTAGGCACAGGGGCTGGGATGGGGTAGTAGTAGTGGTGGTGGTCCTGCCTCACCGAAGTGATGGGACAGACTTAGTTGACTCCCCAGGAGGCCTTAACCTCTCTGAGGGGAGGATAGCAGGTGGGGTTGGGGGAATGGGAAGGAGCAGGAGGTGAGGAGAGAGGGGGAACTAAGACTGATATGTAAAAAAAAGTTAAAAAAAAGGGAACATTTTAATTAAGAGCAGGTTTAATTCATGCAGAGGAAAGTAGTGTAAATGGAGACGACCTTTCCTTCTGCACAAGCTGAGCAGCCACTTGAGAATGGCCACTTTGCATTGAACCCATGGTGTCTTACACAAACAGCCAGTCTCAGAAACAACTTACACTGTAAACTTTATTAGATAAGAGGCTTCTCAGATAAGGGCCTTGACTTGACTCCCAGGACAAGATCAAGTAACTTAATACTAATAAAAAGACAGCAGCCTCTCAGTAGCACAGTTCCCTCTCTAGGAACTTGCTCACTGCTTTCTTAGTAGGTGCACCTATCAGTTCTGTCTGTTAATGCCTTGAAACATTCACCCTTCCATCCACAGCTTCACACACACAGACTAAGTAACTAATAGAGAGGAACATGTAGATGGCGGCTCTGCTGCAAACAGGGCTCATCACTTCCCAGGCAGGTCAGAGCAAGAGAGCACTGGATTTCACCAAGTTTTCACTGTCCTGTGCATAGGCTGTAGCTGACCACAAGTAACCCAGAAAGTAGACAGTATAAGAGAATACCTCACTTCTAACTACAATTAACTGGTGTCAAATGACTCTTTAACCAATTGTTTCCGTTAGTTTCTTTCTCCCTTTTTAAAGCTTTTTTAAAATGTTAAATCAGTTTTCATAAAAGAAACAGTAGGAAAAGTGAAAATGCTAATAGTGTATGCTGGGAGATGTTTGAAAAAGAAAAGAATTAGTCCTTCAGGTAAATGCACTGGTGTCCTTGTATGGCTCACAAATTCCTTGAAATGCTGTGCACATCTATCTACACACGAATCACACAGATTTTGACAACACTACCCATCACTTAAGGGCTTTGAATTAAAACATCCCATCTTTATCTAAGAATCCAGTTCACCTGACTGATAGACATAATTACCCTGTTCCCTTTCCATGAGTTAATACTCACTTTATCTAATTTAGTTAAACAAGTTACCAAAGTTTCAGCTTCATAAATTCCCAAACTTCAAGATGACTGATATAGGTTGTTTCTTGTCAAAATGAACTGTGGCCAAATCAATTTAAAATGGCCTTACCTACCTTTAAGGCCTCCCTCAACACACAGAAGTTATTCACACTACTCATTACTGAATCCACTAGGATTACGTTAATGGTAATTGTTCCATCATCACTCACTACAAAGAGCACTACTATGTACATCAAGAAACATTTAAAAATTCATTATTCAAGTAGACATACCTGTATCTGTGAAAGACTGAATATCATAGGTGAGGTCGACACTGAGATTTTCAGAGTTTTCAGTTTTTTTAAACACTAACCCAATCACCCACATTGTGCGAAATTCCTCCCTGCAAAGAACATTATCACAGGGCATTAGATACAGGAGAGCATAAGGATTGACAACCTAGGTGAGTACATGGGAAATTCTAAGTCAAAACCTGATCAAAATGTGCCTACCCCCTTACCTGTCATCTAGGCCGTTACTACACAAACGAACTTCCCAGACTACACTCTTACTTTTTTGTTTGTAATGAGCCTAGAGTATTAAAGATACTAGTATTTGTTAAATGTGCTCAATATAGTACAGGGGAGAAAGCATGCTTTTTGGGAAAGTCTAGGACAAAAAAAAAAAAAAACTAAAAAGCAAAACACCACCACCACCAACAAAAGTAACAACAAAAACCAGGATTTTTCTACATATAAAAATCTGTCCTTTTACCAGACATGGTGGCACACACCTTTAATTATAGCACTTAAGAGGCAGAAAACAGGCAGATTTTGGTGAGTCTGAGGCCAGTCTGGTATACAGAGTAGAGCTACACAGCGAGACCCTGTCCCAAAAATATTATGCCCACAAATCCCCAGTCCATACTTTCTAAACAGTCATGTGTGGTTCACACACATCTGTAACGCTAGCACTTTGGAGGCTGAGGCAGGAGGATCACCAGATTGAGGTCAGATTGGGCTATATACAAGACCCTATCTCAAAAACCAAATTCAAATAATTCCTTTATATAAATCTAAAGTAGAAAAATCAAATGTATTTCATAATAGTCTAAAAATAAGACCAAACTCAAGTAAGTAAGCCTTAACCTCTGCTTTCTGATCATCCTTTCTTCAAAGTTTCTCAATTGTTCTAACTTCCAAATGTAAAAGAGGGACAATGAAAGCGCCACCTGACTTGTAAGGCCCTGAACAAAAAGGTGAGCCTGCTTTCAAACATTTACCCATCTCTGCAATGGTCCACATTCCACCACATATCAGTTATCCACAAGTTTAAATCAAAATATATTCCCTTCAAATAAAAAGCAAAGATAGATGATAGAATAGCCTAAAACTACTGTATAAAACTGAAGAAATGTTAAAAAAAATACTCAAAATTAGGACAGATCTACAGAATAGAATGAAGGGGGTGGGTTGAGACAGGCTTTCTCTGTAGCTTTGGAGCCTGTCTCGGAACTAGCTCTTGTAGGCCAGGCTGGCCTTGAACTCACAGAGATCCACCTGCCTCTGCCTCCCAATTGGTGGGATTTAAGGTGTACACCTCCCAGTTTACAGAGTAGATGTTTGTACTTAATTAGATAACAGATACTTTATCATCAGAGACTATTACTAGAAAAATCAAATTTATTTCAATGCTAATTCTTTTCAAGAAAGTCTTCAATGTTTTTGATCAGGAAAAACTCTGATAAAAATAGCAAGTTAATAATCAGCAAAAGACTTATATTCTATCCAAAAAGAATAAACCAGGGATGAGGAAGACAACCAATACACACATCTTTACAAAAGTTATACCCAGAAGCAAAGAGGGTCAACAAATTAAGGATCAAACAACTTTAGATATAGTCAAGGTTATCTATGGATCCTTACAAAAAAAAAAAAAAAAAAAGCAAGCACATTGTAAGCAAATAGCAAAACCAGCTACAGTCTCCCTATAGCAGAAAATGGTGGCATATACCTGTAAGCACAGAAAGGTGCAGGCTGAGACATGAAAATCAAAACTTCCAGGCCGGTCTGATCTACAAGACCGTCTCCAAAATCAAAATGCCTATAAAAGCATCTACAACTAACCTGAAAGGATAGGGAAGTGGGATTCAATCAGAAACAGGCTTACTTGTCAGGATTTTCTTTGGGGGCTGGAAATGACTGGGGGTTCACATGAGCCAGTGTAATAAACTCATTCTTCTCCAAGCTTCCAACCAGGATGCGGATTTTTGATTCCACCAAGCCCACCCTGGACAAACGTCATTAATATTAATGACCGATTCTATTAAAAAATTCATATGCAAATCAAGTTTTCATGTAACAAGGCAATACAGATATTGTATGTATACAATACACATACCAAGGCAGTTCAAATGATTGAACTCTTTCCCTAAAGATAAAACTAAGAGGATCTACCAAAAACTGCCAAATTGGATGAAAAGAGAACCAGGCAACTTCATCCAAATAGAAAATTACACTAACCCAGGATCTAAATATCAGCAAGCTGGGTCAAACAACAAAGTACAGTCAAGAAGTGAGCTGTGGGTCTTTCTGACAAAGTGCACGCTTCTTTATGAACAGATGCCCCCCACGCTTGAGCACTGTGCTATCTATCAGACTTGTTCAGGGAAAGCCTCCTCTTACTACTCACCATTCCAGACGTTGCTTTTCCGTGGGCGCACTTGCTAGAAGTACAATATAATGCCTTTGAAGATAAAGACAACATGCTATTTATTGTATTTATGTGCTTTGTGCTGGATCTTACAGCCAAAATGTAATAAGCTTCTCACATTTATAGACCAACATTCATTCAGCAAGGGAGTTTGTAATCAGTGTGCACATAAAATCATGTAAACTAAATTCCATGTTTTCACTATTAGCAAGCTGGATTTTCTACAACAAACTGAATAATTATCAAAAGAGTAGTTGAATTTTCAAGGCTTAAAAAACATTACGAGGTAATTTTGCTCAACACTTCAGCAGAGTGTCCTACCTACAAAATTAACAAAAACACTCACGGAAAACGATTGAAAGAAAATATTTTCATGGAAACAACAGCCAACAACAACAAAAAACAGGGCTCTTGACAAAAAAGTAATCACTAGTATAGCTTTTACAAAAGGTAACTTAAAAAATAACATTATGAACATCAGGCTTCAGGTAATATCAAATGGTTTTTATCAACCAAACTGCATCTGGAGTCAGGCCCTCCACCCATCCAAACCAATGGTATAAACTCCCGCAACAGAGATGTGGCTATCCTACGAGAAAGAAAGTGCTATGTTTACTCAGAACTTAAAAGTCTTATCTAAAATGTAGAAATGCCAAATTTTTATTTCAAAAGATACCAAGGGCAAGTATCTATTCTTATGCCTTTTAAAAGCTATTACAATTAAACTAGTAGAAAATTCCTTTTTTCTTGCACTAATAGCAGAATAAATTACTCTGCATATTCCTCTTAGAAGTATTATAGGCTGAGTTTTCCGCAAAACTTTACCTCAGCCAGGCAGTGGTGGCTCAAGCCTTTAATCCCAGCACTTGGGAGGCAGAGGTAGGTGTATCTGTGAGTTCAAGGCCAGCCTGGTCTAAAAGATAGTTCTAGGTCAGTCATGCCTGAGAAATCCTGTCTTCAAAAACAAAAACACAAACAAACAAAACAAGATAACACAAAACTTTACCCCCAAAGGAAACTGCCATCATTACCTAGTGGCTACTAGACAGGAAAAAAATACCAGTATGGGCTACTCTTCAAAAAGTCTGAGAGCTTTCCTTCTGGTACTTGTTCACATTTTACAAGTAATGTTGCTGCTCAAGACAAAACTACCAACCAGCTACCCCACAGCTATATACATCATGAATGCTACTCTGATGAATTTTCTTAAGCCATGTGTTTCTGAAGAAGTCATTAAAGAAAAAAAGGGGTTCAAATTTTTAACTTTGCAACTCTAAACACGACTCTAGGAGTTATATACCAGCTGAACAACAGCATTTGTTGTCAAATTTAACTAAATTAACAGAATTTCATAAACTCAAAGTACAGAAAAACATACAACAGCCCAAGACACAGAAATGAGGTGTCTATAAAATACACTGCTATGGAGCCATGTAGTCCACATACAGAAATATGAGTAATTCCTTTCCCACTTGGTCAGCATTAGTTCAAACTAAGTCAAATACAAATAGTCGGGAGTCATGTAAAAGCACTAAAAGCACATGCATTTTGTGTATCGGGGACTTGAACTAGGAATCATACAAACCAACAAAATCCTGATATACTTAATCACATTTCTGGGTTACTAAGACATTAAAAAGGATGACTTCATCACAGGAAAAGAGGAGATGCAAGTGCTCTCAAGGTGTAGCAGCAGTCAGAGCAGACAACCAAGTATAAATCCCAGACGCACACACAGCTTCACAAGCATCAAGCTGCTTAAGTGTTATCCAGCACAGCTTTTCTATCTCAATCTTAGCACAGTAACTTGGACTTATTACCCCAGCTGGACGGGTACTTGATCCTCTCACCTCCAGCTCCTAAGTGCCAGCATCACCATACTCAACAAGTTTTCCCTCACTCCCCTGAAAATTAATATTCTTATTCATCACCTGATTCTTCAACAAAAGAGTAAGTAAAGCATAATGCTTTCTATTTATAAATATAAAATATATAATTCATTTAATAACAATTTTGTAACTTATACTTTGACTATTCAGGAAATCCAACGGGGGTGTTAAAAGTCTCTTCTTTGTATATTATTTAGACACATGTACTTAGTTTCATATAGATAAATATGAGATTTATGTGGGTAAATTTATATGCAACTACATTTAAACAATATAGAATAATTAAATTTTAAGTAAGCTGCAATTACATGGTTCACTAGAAACGCAAGACTTTGCCAAGAAACTAAGAATCTCCAATTAATTTTCTAAAAATGTACATTTTTATTAATTTTTATTTGCACATGGGTACTTTGTCTACATGTATATCCTTGCACAATGTGTATGCAGTTCCCACAGAGACCAGAAGAGGGCATCGGATCCCCTGGAACTGTCATTACCAACAGCTGCCAACAGTCATATAGGTTCTGGAAATTGAACTCAGGTCTTCAGGAAAAGCAGCCAGAGCTCTTAACTGATGAGTATCTTTCTAGTTCCAAACTCGCTATTTTTTTAAAAAAAAAAAACAAATTAATATTTAATTCCCAAGATCCCTCTGGGCCAGATGGATTTCTAAGACTATCCCCCAAAATGTGATACTCTTCATGTCAGCTAGCTCAAATGTCTCCAAGGAAAAGAAAATCTAAGGTTAATTGTCATTAACTTTCCCCTAAAATTTCAGTTCTCTCTCTCCTCTCTCTCCTCTCTCTCTCTCTCTCTCTCTCTCTCTCTCTCTCTCTCTCTCTCTCTCTCTCTCAAACTTATACAAAAATGTTCTAGGGCCAAGAATATACTTCAGCCACATAAAGTTCTAAGAATGCTTTAGTTATTATATTACAAAAGCTATTTACCAAAAAAAAAAAAAGGATTTTTGTAAGTATGTTTCTTGGACATTGCATCTCAATACTTTACCTGGATAGATCATGATTCAGATACCATGCACTGAAAGGAAAACCTATCTTTTAGTTAAAATCCTTATTGTTCTCTTGAACCCATAACCAAGAATTAAAGCTCACTATTTTAAGGTGTGGTGCTGATTTTGCTGGGGGTTGAGGTGAGCTCATGTATTCCAAACTGATTATGAACTTGCTATGAAGCTCAGGCTGCCTTGAATCTTGGTCCTCCTGCCTTTACCTCCCAAGTACTGAAATTACACACATGCCCCAAACTCAGATTTTACAACCAATTGCATGGATAAATTTTTAAATACATCCTTACACTTTCCCCATTTCTAGTGAAACATAATCCTTAAAATGACTATTTCCTAATGTCTAGGATTTGTTTTTACTTAACAGGTTAAGAATCTTACAAGAGAAAAATATTACTTATAACTTTGAAAATTTGCAGAACAATGCCATTCCTTTCTCCAGGATGATTCCCCCCCCTTGAAAGTGGATGAGTTTACATTTATGACAAACACAATCTCTATGGTGCCCCTCCCTTCCAAAAATAACAGGGCTATTTCATACAATTTAAAATCCTAAATAAAGGTAGCACTTTCAAGGCATGCTTCACACAAACTCAACCAACTTTCAATTTACTGCAAACTAACAACTCCACTTCAGGTTACAGCATAACTGGTGTTTCATATGAAGACACTTAAAACTACTAGAATCTGAGAGTTCCATGAGTCTAAGACAGCCCCCAGAGTGCCTTGAGGGCATTTGTGCAGAGGAATTAAATCTTATTCTCTGACACTCAGGATTTAAAATTTTATGAAATAAGCATGTTGCTACATCTTTCTTTTTTTTTTTTTTAAGTATTTTTAAGTAAAAGTTTGATTGCCTCAGGTGTCCGGAAAAAAATATGAATAACCCTTTGCCAGATAAAAATCTTACAGGCACTCCTGCAAAGACTCAGAGGTGTTGAAAAACTGCCAGTGCCTTTCACACAGCTCTGGCAGTATCTGTGGATAAAAACTGGAGTGAGAGCTGGGCGGTGGTGGCGCACGCCTTTAGTCCCAGCACATGGATGGATCTTTGTGAGTTCGAGGCCAGCCTGTCCTACAAGAGCTAGTTCCAGGACGGGCTCCAAAGCTACAGAGAAACCCTGTCTTGAAAAAAACAAAAAACAAAACAAAAAAACCTGGAGTGAGGTCTGCTCCATGCTAGCATTCATCTTTCCTAAAGTCGAAGCTACTAAAGCACAAGTTCCCCTCTTTCTCCAGCTCTTGTAACTACAGATGAGACAGGGAAAGGAAGTGTTCATATTTGAGACTTAGCAAGTGAGGAACACTGGTCTTTGAGGTCTTATTTTTCTTGATGCAACTATGTCTCATGTATGGTAGTTTTCAAGTGTTGGCATATTGTTAAATACTCATTGGTCATCTCCTCGACATTAAAAAACAATTATCTGCCAACGGAAAGTAATCTAGAGAATGAGCAAGGAAACACAAGCACTTTGATACTATGCTACTTCTGTCACTCTCACTGACAACACAGTGCTCCGGGACAACAGTTAAACCGGCTCCATCACTGCTTTTTCATGCAAATACAGAAACAAAACACAGAGACGTCATGAAGGTCATCATTCTTACTTTTAATTTGGGAAAAATATAAAATAATTTCGCTCAAAGTATTTAACAAAACACAATTCGACACAAAATCAAATGGTCAGAAAAATCTCAAGCATTAAAGCAAAAATTTAAGTGGGACTTTGCTAATTTTTCAGCCCAGGGCAAATAAAAGTTCGAGTCCATATTTGGTTTTTGTTATTTCTTTAAGATTTATTGTAACTTACATTTTTCAACACAACACAATTCATAAGGCTTTTAATCTCTAAGGTGTTAAAAGTATTATATTAAAGACATTAATAAAAATTATACCCACTTAAATTGTTAGAAAACTGCAGACATATTTTTGAAAGGGGAAATAGTAGGCCAATGGTGTGCTGCTAATTACTGAAAACATTAAATCAGCCAAACACATTGACATTTCATTGGGTCTGTGCATGTTCTAAATACCCGGGTTAAGTTGTCAGAATTAAATGTAAGAAGTTTCTTGAAAAAGAACTGAAAATAGATAGTTAAGAGCTTATCTGCTTGCTAAGTACAGACTGTCACAGTGACAAGTGACACTCCTAGAACTGATGTTGCTGACACACAGTAGGAATGCCAGGTCAATCAAGCAACAAAACTCTAAGGATGACACATTTTATTGATAAAGAAAAAAAAAAAAGCCCAAAACCAGAGTTACTAAAAATGCTAAGTCCTTTGTGACAGTAAGGAAAACTACAGACATTGAAGAGACTCCAGAGTTCACTAACCTGGCAAGAGATACCACATATGTAGATACCACTACTTAAGAGCAACATGGCTGACATGCCTTAAAATACATACTTGTACTTCTGAAAGAAGTTTGGAGCTTCAAAAAGTTTGGACCACTCTGCCTTACTCAGCAAAATTTCATCTGTGATAGCAAGACCTAAATTAAAAACATATTAGAATATTTGTATGTTTCAACCTAGCAATATAGAATTTTAAATATATTTTAAACATACTTCATGCATTCACTATAATTTTAAACATTAGCAATGGAAGGTTTATTTCACGTCCTTAGAGCACATTTTACACGTTTTTCAAAAGCACTGGAAAATTTTCTGAGAACCACATTCCCGGTAAAGGGCCATTATTAATAAAATGTCATGCTCACAGGAAGGCTTGCTCAAACAGAAGCACAGTAGTTACCTGAAAGAAAAGTCACCCACATAATGTTCCTGACTTTTTCAAACAAGTTATTGCTATCTCTAATAGACAAGAACCTTTCCTGTTAAAAAGCTTTCTTACGTGAAGTCAAGAGTTAGTCAACTTAAGGCTGAATACTGTACACGGCCTTTTGGCCTTTTCTACCCGATGCCTTCAGCCACCTTGATTCTTTGAGGAATTAAGATAGCAATTAGTAATAGTTTTAAATTTAAAATAAACTGGGGCCCGAAGTCAAGGGTCTTCTCAAAGGCAGCGTTTTGGGCCCCAACCACCCTCCAAGTTCTTTCCTGGAAATGTAAATCCCATCCATCCCTTGTGTCACTCATAAAGGCTATATGGCATCGACTCTGATGACACAGCCTTCAAAGAAGCCAGAAGTACACATCTTAAATGTGCCTTCATTTTCCAACAATTCTGCTTATAAAAATTGTTACTCTGCAATGTCATCAAAAATAAATGCACAAATCCGGTTTGGCAATTCAGTTAAATCACACAACTAGCTAACTATTGGGTCTGTAACAGTAGGCAGACCCTTCGTGTATAAAGTAGAGCAGAATCAGAAACACTTACCTTGTTTAAACTCCTCAACCATGACCATCCGTGTTGAAACGGACACATTGTACGTGGAGTTCTGCTGTGGGTATGCTGGTGTAATTATAGGCATAAGATGGTACCTATCACTGGGGTTTACCTACATACAACAACAGCCAATCAGTTTCTTCAAGTATATATACAACAGACACTTGGACTTTTACCCCTTGTTAAATTGAACCAATGATTACATTTTACTTCATTCAAAGCTGGAGTTGAGAAATAAAAACCATGTCAGGAGACTGTTTTATAGAAACTTTTTACAGAATGAGAGATCTAGCCAATAGTCTGTTCCCATGCTGGAGGCACGACTACCTTGAAACCTGACTGCGTGCACCTGCTGGGCAAAAACAAAGCAAAACAAAAAGATGTAGTTGTAAATCTACTGCTTTTCCTTATTCAGCAGCATAAATGAGGATGCCTGCAGAATTACACTTTTAAGTGTTCTTACTTATAAAACTCAGTTTTTATTAGCACAGGGCAGAACAGCTCTGGGCTGTTGAGACAACAGGCTGATTTAGTGACTGCTCACCTGTACACTAAAGAGTTCATCACCACAGAAGCAACTACAACTCACTCTCCCTTAAACGCCTTCAAGCTTAGGCAACATGAAAGCACACAGTTTGGGGCTGAGCCTGACTGAAATTAAAAGACTTTGATACTGTAATAAATAACAAACTAATTTTTAAAAACTTGTAATGTCAAAAACATAGAAAGTTTTGATTTAAATTAATTCCTTTTATTAATTAATCAATAAAGCTCATGTTACTAACACCTAGAAAGTATAGGCAGTAAATGCTACGTGACACTTCTCAACAAAACGGATGCTCTTCCTTAGCCAACACACTTCTGCAGCTCTGAAGCATCTAAACATCTTTTCACAATTATAGCACAGGCACTGCAATAGTGCTTAGGAGCCATCTGCTACATAGAAACACTACGCAAGAGCTTTCTGCAAGTCAATCTGAACAAAGTACTTAGATCAAATAAAAAATATACAGGGATTTTTAGTATCCTTTTATTATTTTTTTAAAGCACAAACACCCACAACTTTGACTTACAAAATAGTTCTCTATGGAAAGCGTTGTTAGTAAAATCTGTGCCAACTGTGTACATTAGACGTGGTTTACAGGGTACATCATTACACTTCTCACACCAGGGGACACTAGAGAGCAGGTCATCTAGAACAAGAGTACTATGAGTGTATCCACTCATTTGTAAGGACTGGGCGGCTTCTTTGAAGTTTATGCAGGTGACTTTTGTTATTGAACAGTGTGAATTTGTAGGGGAAAAAATAATACACTAACCCTTGGGTCCCACACAGGCAAATTAAGATTGCATTCTTCAGGCTGTTTCAATAGCACTGGATTTGGCCATTCCCTGTTCAAAAAGATTGTAGCACTTGATAAGACTACTGGACATTAGCATCTAAACGTATTTTGTTAAACATACAGCATTTGTGAATGTGACCCTATTTTACTCACTTGGCATATACACCATAGTCTCTCAATCCTTTCTGTTGACATAGTATCTCTCTACAAAATTAACCATTTGATGTTTTCTCAAGCTCATGGCAAACACCTGCTCTGTCAGAGAACTGATAAAGCACTATGCAAATAAAAAAGTGTCAATCTCAAAACATCTAATGTGTTCACCTCAACCTTTAGCAAGGTTAATCCCATTTAGAGAAGAAAGAATCCTGTCTTCACACTAATTGCATCCATGGACATATGAGAAGTTACTTCTGACTACAGTCAAAGTGATAGGAATAACTGTAAAAGTCAAGGACGTTGCTTCCCATATATTACTATATAATACCGTGAAATGCTATTTCTTTCACTTTATAGCGATCAAAGATGAAAAATGTTTGTGTATCACCTTTGGAGAAGTTCTAAGTCTTTGATTTTATCACACCTCACTCTTTGTGACAAAGGCAAAGCAACAGAACTAAACTGGGAAGTAGCCACTGTAATTATAAATTATATCCATGAGTCTAGCTGTTACAAAGCGACTACAAAGGAACAATTCTTGTTTCACATGGAAGAAACGAAGGAGTTGAAAATATAGAAGACAAATCTCTTTAAGATAATCTGATTAAAACCCTAACTTTTTGGGTCAAGGTAACCAACACAAATTGGCAATGTCTTGAACTTTTCCTAAATCAAAATTCATCAACATGCACATCTTCATTAGGAAAATATAACGAATTTTTCCTGGACTAAGTCTCAAAGGATTCAGCAACTACATTATTTTTTCAATCACTTAATGTATTTTTTTCAATTCTTATAAAACGTGATACTTTTAAGGTTTTGCCAAGACAATGAACAGCTGGAAGTAAGCAAAACGCAATCACAAAAACAATGGCCAAGCATTTAGAAGCATTCAAAATGAAAGTAGAATAGAAGTGTGTGTAAGTTCTAATCAACCTATCAACGCATAAGATCAGCACACATTACAGTAGCTAAAGTTCAGAGTTTATTAGGAGGATAGGCTCACACAAGTAGAACACGTATTTATCTGCCTCATGATCCTGGAAGAACTAGGTTAAAGCAATGGAGTTTAGGTCTGCCTTTTCATATTCAATGTCTCTTCCCAAATGGTAGCTGTATCTTGAGCTAAAACTGGTTTGGGTTTTTTTTTTTTTTTTGGCGGGACTGGTGACTGAACACAAGGCCTTGCATATGCCAGGCAAGCACTCTACCACTGAACTACACACCCTTAGCCCACAAACTAAAATTGGAATCTGAAACCAGCTGTAGAAATGTCATAGAAATAAGACTAAACTTCAGTGTCTACAATCAATTTTATTGTAATATAATCTAAAAACATACCATTTAGAAAATACCAAGAAAAATTTATGTACAAGAGTGGATGCTATTGCATTTGGATAAAGCTGGCAAGTTCTTGCTACTAGCATAGCCCAGGATACACCACCGAGGAAACCTAATATATTGGAATAGATGTTGTGCCCTGTTGATAAGGGAAAAGCAAAAATATAAGTTAGTGTTAAGAAGAGCTTAAACGTTTTTAATAAGCTAGCCAACAAATTCTGAACTCACGTTTGGCCCACAGTTTGATGGCTCTCAGAGTTAACCTGAAGTTGTCAATGTTTGGTACTAGATGTAAAATCTCATCGGTTACCCTGCAACCTGATTAACAGGAGTGAGAGAAACAGAACATTAAGCCATCAAAGGAATTATGATAGTGATAATTTTCTAAGACTATCCTCAAATTAAAACCTTAATTGGCAGAATGTGATTCAGTAGTAAATCAAGTAGTTATTTCCTGTCCCAAGCATCATCCTAAACCAAAACTAACATACTGTGGTAGTTAATCTTGCAACTAGTAACTGAAACTTTTTCCTGTCCAGATGCCCGGAGCTTCCAATGGTTGTCCCAAAGTACTGGTAAGGAGCTATTCTAGCATTTAAGAGAAAACACCTCTCTCTCATCTGATAACATTATGAAGCAAATATCAAGTGCAAATTAATGAAGGCTACACAGTAAAACCTCAATTACTAGCAACATTACAAATGTCAGTATTACGAGGATACCATTAATAACAGGAAAAACTATTAAGATCATCAGTGAGCAAATAAACTACCAGACACTGCTCTGTAGTCTACCACAAAAAGAATGTTTTATTGTATTCATAATACATTAACAACAGGCTACAAACACCTTCATTACAAAGCATACATTTTAAAAACTGTTATTTACTATTTAAAAAAGAAAAAGAAAAACTCCCTCCAACACCACAAAGGGAAGCAGGCTTTTTACATACCATTAAGGCTTCTTATGCATCTTATATCTAGGTTTTTAAGCAGACTGTCATCTCGTAGGTCCAAATCTTCTGGAATAGTCTGCAGTGCTAATCTTGCAAACAAAATATCAATCTAAAACAAAAAAATAAAATCTATATTCCATATCTGTCAAACTAATTTTAAGGTATTTCTTTTATTAAAAAAATTCTTAAAGCCCTTTCATAACCATGAACACTGCAAAGGCTACAATGGCCTCACAAGAAGCCCAAACTGCAGACACAGGCATTAATCAGAGGCTAAAGCATGCAAATAGAAATAAGAACTAGAATTAACATATACTATATGTCATTTCAACTATAAGAAGTCTACTAATTTTGCTAAATGCATACACTTGAATTAACTTCTGGTTTATCATCTGTAGGAGCTGTAAGCTAGCTGCATATTTAAAGGGGCAAAAATGGGGGATAAATACTTTGATAGGAAAGGTAGTCCCTTGCTCTGGTGTCTGCCTCTCCTGCTGCTTCTGGGGAGCACAAAGGCCTCTCTAGGGTGGAGCAGATATTAGCTCAGAAAGGAGCTCACATAATCACTTATTTTCACATAAAAAGAAAGCAAAACCAGTAGGTAAATTGGATGTCAGCTTATATTTTAATTATAGCTTTATATTTAAATACTGGCTATAAATATTTATACAAATTTAATTTATAACCAAATTCGTAACATTTTGTCTACTTATTAGAATCAATAGTTTAACCTTTCATAAAAGTTAGGCATCCTATAACAATTCTAAAACTAACCCCAACTACAGAAAAATACCAGCAAGTAATTCTTTCCGTATCTCAATTTTATAATCAGCAACATTATCATCAAGTCACTATTAACTTAACAATAGAAATAACTCTGCAGACAGCCCTCTGTGCTCCCCAGAAGCAGCAGTAGAGGCAAACACCAGAACACGCAGTAAATCTGCTGCCAAAGTACTTAAAGTCCTGCTAGCTCACACTACCCCGTCTTTTAAAGTACCTATGCAAACTGACATAGAGGGAAAAGCTTCTTCAAACACAGACCATGTACTTATTGCCTGAATCAGAACACAAAATTCACATGTGAACAAAATATCAAAAAACTGCTCTGCAGCAGCTTCCAGCCCTAGATCCTTCAGTTCAGTTCACACTTGCACTTGCTGCTGGAAAAAGAATCTAACAGATATATTCTACAAAAACAGGCACTCACTTCCATGACAAAAAATTGTTAGTACCAACCAACTCACAAATTCTTACTGGCAATCAAATGTTTATCTACACTGACCAAAATCCAGGACAGTCCATACAAAAAGATGCCTGCTAGGATTAGACCTTACCTCTATTCCATCAAAACAGAGTTTGATGACTGGTACAAATGCCTCTTCAACAGCCTGTGAGAAAGTAAACAAGTTTAGTTCCTGAAGCTTCGTAAGTCCATGACTTGTTGCTACGTTTTCCCTTAGTCTGTCTGGGCCAGGGTCTTATTTAGAACAATCTGGACTCAAAAAACTCAGTTGAAAATATCCTGAACTTCTAATCCTCCTGCCTCTAATCCCCAAGGGCCCAGATTACAGGTGTGCTACATGTGGCTATTATTGTCACTTGTTAAAATAATAAACTTGAAATTGTTTCAGGATAATTTAGCTGGGAGTAGGGAGTGGGCAGCAGGAAGAGAGGAGGAAAGGGGAATTATGGTGAGTATATAAAATGAAGGTAAAATTTAAAATTAAATAAATAAAAGATAATTTAGCAGAATCCCAACAAAAAATAAGTTCTTAGCAATGAAATTTAACACTCAAAATCCTTCATATCTGTCATAGTATGTCAGCTTTTTCATTACTTATCCGCTTCTATTTCCTAATCCCCCCATCCCTCCCCCTCTGTGTTTACTGAGACTGGGTTTCTCTGTAGTTTTGGAGCCTGTCCTGGAACTCACTCTGTAGAGCAGGCTGGCCTCAAACTCCCAGAGATTCGCCTATTTCTGCCTCCTGAGTGCTGAGACTAAAGGTGTGCAACCCCCCTCCCCAGCTATTTACTAATTTCTAAGTATAGGTTTATCATTCTCGTTTTGTTATAAAATACACAAGGCAAATGCATGTTGAGTACTCAAAATGGCCTGGAAAACTGGAATAGCTCAATTAGTGATTCCTCTACCTCTAACATAAATTTCTCTCAAAGGACTAAGTGGTATCTTTTTAACCCTTCCTCTCTTGCCCCAATATTTACATACTCTTAAGTCTTTTACTTCTTCTTGTAACTTCAATTTATCATAGAATGAGGTGAAAAAGTCACTCCGATCAACATGTCTTGGTGCAACACACAATGCATCAATATCAGCACCTTAAAAAATAAAAATTCAACCATTACACAGTTGTTCAAAGAAATTGCCTTGTTATCTTAACAATAACGGTATTTGATATTAGTTGACACAACATCAGCAAGCTCTAGAACTTTACCCCCTGACAAACATAATCAGTCAGTGGAGAAAGGCAATGCTAACTAATTGGTATGCTTTTCTTCAGACACACTGTATTCAAATTAGACTTCATAAACAAGTCAAAACAAGGATGAGCCAGAACTTTCCTTGAGTGCACTTATCCATGGTCTTGATGTCATTTTTAAACAAACCACAAGTTGAGCCGTGTTGGCAAGTCTTTGATATCAGCACTCAGAAGCCAGAGGCAGGAGGATCTCTGAGTTTGACGGCAGCCTGGTCTACAGAGAGAGTTCCAAGACAGCCAGGCTACACAGAGAAACCCTGTCTCAAACAAACAAACAAACAAAAACTCCACAGTTTTACTGGTACATAGAGCGCTCTGCTGAAAAGCAGTAAAACTAAACTTGATCAAACAGAGAGATCTCCATGGAATCAGGTCAATTCTCAAGACTAGATATCATATTCAAAAAGTCACCTGAAGTGCATCCTACAAGGCACACAGGACGTATCAAAAGTAAACATACTATAGCTAGACAGAGCAATAAGACAAAAGAAAATAAGAGTGCCAAGGCATTCACACGGTTTAACAGTGTGACCTCTTCCACTTGAGTTGTATACACTGGTTCTGTCTCCTAAGACTCTGACTTGTATTTTTGAGAGTGAAATTACTTTAAGGAATAAATAAGACAATGAAGATTAAGAATTTAGTTTCTGGAGGCTGGTGAGGTGGATCAGTAGTGCAGAGCACCAAACATTAGTTCCCAGCCTACATGGTAGCTCACACCAACCCTCTAAACCCCAGATCCAGGGGGTCAATGTCCCTTTCTGGCTTCTGCAAGTACCTGTCACACATGTGGTACACATGGTTGTATGCTTAAGAAAAGTCATACATAGACAATAAAATAGTATTTCTTTAAAAAGTTACCCTTTTCAAAAAAAAAAAGTTAATATTCAATGTGATCACCAGTAGCTACAGACCCATTAGCTCAGTTTTTGGTACGCTGTATTTTACAATCTTACCAGCAATAAAGAAATGAGGCCAAGAAAACGACAACTTTCTTGGAGCTTTGACTTTTCTCATAGCCAGTGTTACTCTTCAGAAAGGAAGAAGGAATCTACAGAAAACTGTCCAAATAGGAGCTGCCCTGCACCTACACTTCCCAATATAGTAGCCAGCCACATGCTGTTCAATACAGAAAATGTGGCTTACTCCAATGGTGAACTGAGTTATTACTTCACTGCATCACGACCATCAGGTATAGAAGGCTCTATCTGGGGCTGGAGAGATGGCTCAGTGGTTAAGAGCATTGCCTGCTCTTCCAAAGGTCCTGAGTTCAATTCCCAGCAACCACATGGTGGCTCACAACCATCTATAATGAGGTCTGGTGCCCTCTTCTGGCCTGCAGGCATACACACAGACAGAACATTGTATACATAACAAATAAATAATTTTAAAAAAAAAAGGCTCTATCTGAATTTAAAATTCCTTAAGGATTCTCACTTCCTTGCTAATTCAATCTTGTATATGACTCATAAAAAACTGTCATAATCTTAAGAAATAAAAGGTTATTAACTCAAAATAAGTAATTACCTACCTTTGGTATGTACTCCTAGTCTGTAAGATCCAAATGTAAAAATTTTTCCTCCAACATTTTCAATTACAGATTGTGGAAGATTCTGTCAAACAAAACAATGGTTGTCAGCAAAGCCTGGGGGACACCATTTCAATTGATGTAACAGCTGATTTCTGAGTTTTGTCAATTTAGTGTGTGTGTGAGGTTTCTGTTTGTTTTGAGACAAGTTCTTAACTGTGTAGCCAGGCTGATCTCAAAGTCTCAATTCAATCTACCTGCCTCAGAATCGCAAGCCCTGAAACTATAAAATTGCTATACTTTAACTACACAAAACTGGGATGGTGGCACATACCTGTAATCCTCAGCACTGGGGAGGAAGTAAAAGAAGGGTCAAAATTCAAGGTGTCTCTCTCTCTCTCTCTCTCTCTCTCTCTCTCTCTCTCTCACACACACACACACACACACACACACACACACACACACACACACACACCCCTTTGGGCCAGCCTGCCTAGAAGATACCCCATCTCAAAGAATAAATACATAAAAATAGGTTCATCAAGACCACTCAGTGCGTAATGGCACTTGCCACTAAGCCTGACAACCTGGGTAACTTAATCCCAGAGGCCCATAAGGTAGAAGGACCCACCCAACTCAGGCAAATTGTCCTCTGACCTCCACACATACCACATGCACAATAAATCAATGTAATAAAAATTTGAAATAAAAATAATTGAGATTCCCCCCTCCCAAAATTATGATATCCAAAAATATTCATAGGAAAACTGAGTCAGGTACCAAGTCATCACAGAGAGACCTTATCAATGGATGAAAAATCATGCACAGGCCTCGCCTTATGAGGCCCCATTTTCATCAACTCGCAACACTAGTCAAAGAGCCAAGCTATTCACAGAACACAAACCAAACCAGAGAGGAATGAGACTCATTCTATTAAGCCAAACAATTTTTCTTAATCCTCGGGCTCGTCCTAGGAAGACACACAGAAGAACTATCAACACTTCCGCTCTAGCTGTCCAGAAGCTAAGCAAGGCTAATCTAAACTACACAGCAAGATCTTCCCTGAAAGAATAAAGAGCCAGTATTTGGGAGGCAGAGGCAGGCAGAGCTCTATGAGTTCGAACCAGCCTCATGATCTATAGAGCGAGTTATAGGATAGCTAAGGCTACACAGATTAACTCAAAAATCAATTAAAAACAAAACTATAAAGACCACCACCATTTAAATAAATAAGAGTTGTTAGTTCAAATAGGGTATGGTATCATGCAACTGTATTCCTTGTACTTGGCAGGCTGAGAAGAGGATCACTATAAATTTCAGGGCACTTTGGGCTGTCTATGGAGGGAGATCATGCCTCAAGAAACAACAGAACCACTGGTTCAATACAACACTAAAGATTTCTCAGGCTCACGAACTGGACAGAATACTGTAAATATTATTGAAAGTAACCTAAAGATCAATAGCAATCACCATGAGATTCCAGTAATACTCTTCACAAAACAAAAGAAAAATTCTAAATTCATCAGGAGACATAAAATGCATACATACTAGCCTAGGCAATCCTACACAGGAAGAATAATGACAAAAGAACCGTGAATCCCAATTTCAATTTATATTAAAGAGCCAACAGCAAAAACAGAATGGAACTGCCTCAAAACACACAGAGGACCAACAGAAGACCTTAGAAGTAAACTCACAGTTACAGCTTTCTTTTAGCACAAATTCATATTCTTGAACCAGTGTTGCACCCAAATGAGTAGTTCTGTAACTGTCCTCACAGGTTCTCTATTATCAGTTTAATTATGGTTAGTAACCATAAGGAAGGACATTTTTGGCTAGCTTTCTGAATAACAAAATAAGCAAAAAAAAAAACAAAAAAAAAAAAAAACAAAAACAAAAAAAAACACCTACGCAGGTTAACACAAAAGCTACTAGTCCTATCTTTATGAAATGGAACATTGGCAAATAAGTTCTAAAAATTATTACCTTTAAACTTCTAATATTTCTACCAAGTAGGGCTCTCTTCTTTTTTTACTGTGCAACCTGCTTCAGTGCTAGCAGCCTAAAGCAGAAGGACTGAGTGACAGGAACAACATTTTGCATTATTAGCACGGGATACTATTAGAGGAAGATGATGGAGCACCATAAATCCAAACCCATCTATGATCATCCACAAATTTTTGACAAAGGTATCAAAAACATATTATAGTAGTAGTTGAATCCCTTCTCACACTGTGTTTAAAAAACAATGAACTGTGAATGCCTTAATATGACCTGAAATTCTGCAACTACTACAGAAAAACAGAATGCCTCAAAATACAGAGGCAGGCAAAGATTTTCTCAAAGACTCCAAGATATCAGGAAATAATACTGGTAAATAAGATTTCATGAAATTAAAAAACTGTGCGAGACAAACCAGAGTGAAAAAGTCAGTCTACAGACGGAAGAAACAGCTTTCCCAACTACTCTTCCCACAAGATTAAGATCTTGTATGTAGAATTTATTCAGTCATAAAGAATAAAATTAGGGCCAGGTAATTGTGTTGTACACCTTTAAACCAAGCACTCAGGAGGCAGAGACAGTGGGATCTTTGTGAGTTCAAGGCCAACCTGGTCTACAGAGTGCATTCTGAGACAGCCAGAGGTACAGAGAAACCCTGTCTTAAAAAATGGAAAAAAAGAATAAAATTAGAGGGCTAGATTAATGCCTCAGAGATAAAGAGCAATGGTTGCTCTTGCAGAGTCAGGGGTTACTGTTCCCAGCATTCAACATGGTGGCTTACAACCATCTGTTTCTAGAAGATCTTACCCTACTCTTCAGACCTCTACTAGCACAGACATGTGAGCAACACACAGACATACACTCAGGCAAAACATACACAAAAATAAATCTTAAAAGTTATACATTAATTAAATATCTTTTAGATGAAAATGGATGGAACCAAAGATCACTTTAAGCAAAATCAGCCAAATGCAGGCTATCCATATTGCATATCATCTCATTTGTGAATCTAGACAGAGACAGATGACACAAAGGCAAATGGGGGACTTTCTGTGGTGAAGATGACTAACAAATGGGGGTCGGGGAAGAAGAAGACAGTGGAAGGTGATCAAGCCTAACACTGCACACGGATGAAAACATTAAACGCAAAGCCTCTGCTCTATGTGCTTACTAAATACAAGTAAATAAAGCACTGGTTCAAGAAACTCATCAGGTCCTCCAGTCCCTGGGAAGGAAGAACAAAAGTACCCAAGATGGCAGATGTGGTGCACATCCCTACAATCCTAGCACTGCCTATCACCCAATACTATGAAGGAGAGGCATGGAGGTCCAGGGCAGTCTTCATGAAGCCTGTTCTCAATAGACAAGCAGGCATAGCTCAAAAAAATAAAAATAAAAAAATTCAGTTCTGACCAGGAATGGTGGCAAATAACTGTACTCCCAGTATTAGGAAGGTAAAAGCTAAGTCAAAGTCATCACACTACTTAGGTAATCAAGTTCAAGGCCCACCCGGGCTACATACTAAACCATCTCAAAATACAAACCAGTTGTGGCTTTGTCTACTTGACTAGCATCTAAGAAAAAAGCTCTTCAATAAATCCATGCTTCCTACACAAGGATAGTACCAACTTCAATGAAGAAAAACACAAGCTTGGACACTTCTTGCTTAGCTCATAAAACTTATTTTTTCAAATTTTCTATTGAAAACTTTGTTAGTAAGAAATGTGGGACATAAAAATCACCATTTAAATGTTCCAGCTGATCAATTTTTAATCAGTTTAAATATATAAACATGTATTTTAAGAACTTACCTAAAACCATGTAACTTATTTTCCCTTAATACCCTCTCTTGTCCTATGAGTCTTCCCTTGGTTATCTATCAGCCTTTCAGCTGTGTAAAAATTAGACATGCATTTTCTATTACAGCAGAAAAATTACTGCTACTTATGGAACATTAAGAATCTGGCAAATACATTCCACACAGCTCTAATAATAATTTTACTTTAATATTAAGCATACTAATGAACTCCCTAACTGTGCGAATTATTACAGTCAAAGTACCATGAATTCAGGGAAATGTCATAACTAAACAATGATGTTCTTTTTGAGTATCTAAAACAAAACAACACTAAAAAAAAAAAAAAAAAAAACAAAACCACAAGTGGGGGCTAGAGATGACTTAGTGGTTAAGAGCACTATTTGCTCTTCTAGAAGACCCAGGTTNAAAAAAAAAAAAAAACAAAAACAAAAAAAAACACCTACGCAGGTTAACACAAAAGCTACTAGTCCTATCTTTATGAAATGGAACATTGGCAAATAAGTTCTAAAAATTATTACCTTTAAACTTCTAATATTTCTACCAAGTAGGGCTCTCTTCTTTTTTTACTGTGCAACCTGCTTCAGTGCTAGCAGCCTAAAGCAGAAGGACTGAGTGACAGGAACAACATTTTGCATTATTAGCACGGGATACTATTAGAGGAAGATGATGGAGCACCATAAATCCAAACCCATCTATGATCATCCACAAATTTTTGACAAAGGTATCAAAAACATATTATAGTAGTAGTTGAATCCCTTCTCACACTGTGTTTAAAAAACAATGAACTGTGAATGCCTTAATATGACCTGAAATTCTGCAACTACTACAGAAAAACAGAATGCCTCAAAATACAGAGGCAGGCAAAGATTTTCTCAAAGACTCCAAGATATCAGGAAATAATACTGGTAAATAAGATTTCATGAAATTAAAAAACTGTGCGAGACAAACCAGAGTGAAAAAGTCAGTCTACAGACGGAAGAAACAGCTTTCCCAACTACTCTTCCCACAAGATTAAGATCTTGTATGTAGAATTTATTCAGTCATAAAGAATAAAATTAGGGCCAGGTAATTGTGTTGTACACCTTTAAACCAAGCACTCAGGAGGCAGAGACAGTGGGATCTTTGTGAGTTCAAGGCCAACCTGGTCTACAGAGTGCATTCTGAGACAGCCAGAGGTACAGAGAAACCCTGTCTTAAAAAATGGAAAAAAAGAATAAAATTAGAGGGCTAGATTAATGCCTCAGAGATAAAGAGCAATGGTTGCTCTTGCAGAGTCAGGGGTTACTGTTCCCAGCATTCAACATGGTGGCTTACAACCATCTGTTTCTAGAAGATCTTACCCTACTCTTCAGACCTCTACTAGCACAGACATGTGAGCAACACACAGACATACACTCAGGCAAAACATACACAAAAATAAATCTTAAAAGTTATACATTAATTAAATATCTTTTAGATGAAAATGGATGGAACCAAAGATCACTTTAAGCAAAATCAGCCAAATGCAGGCTATCCATATTGCATATCATCTCATTTGTGAATCTAGACAGAGACAGATGACACAAAGGCAAATGGGGGACTTTCTGTGGTGAAGATGACTAACAAATGGGGGTCGGGGAAGAAGAAGACAGTGGAAGGTGATCAAGCCTAACACTGCACACGGATGAAAACATTAAACGCAAAGCCTCTGCTCTATGTGCTTACTAAATACAAGTAAATAAAGCACTGGTTCAAGAAACTCATCAGGTCCTCCAGTCCCTGGGAAGGAAGAACAAAAGTACCCAAGATGGCAGATGTGGTGCACATCCCTACAATCCTAGCACTGCCTATCACCCAATACTATGAAGGAGAGGCATGGAGGTCCAGGGCAGTCTTCATGAAGCCTGTTCTCAATAGACAAGCAGGCATAGCTCAAAAAAATAAAAATAAAAAAATTCAGTTCTGACCAGGAATGGTGGCAAATAACTGTACTCCCAGTATTAGGAAGGTAAAAGCTAAGTCAAAGTCATCACACTACTTAGGTAATCAAGTTCAAGGCCCACCCGGGCTACATACTAAACCATCTCAAAATACAAACCAGTTGTGGCTTTGTCTACTTGACTAGCATCTAAGAAAAAAGCTCTTCAATAAATCCATGCTTCCTACACAAGGATAGTACCAACTTCAATGAAGAAAAACACAAGCTTGGACACTTCTTGCTTAGCTCATAAAACTTATTTTTTCAAATTTTCTATTGAAAACTTTGTTAGTAAGAAATGTGGGACATAAAAATCACCATTTAAATGTTCCAGCTGATCAATTTTTAATCAGTTTAAATATATAAACATGTATTTTAAGAACTTACCTAAAACCATGTAACTTATTTTCCCTTAATACCCTCTCTTGTCCTATGAGTCTTCCCTTGGTTATCTATCAGCCTTTCAGCTGTGTAAAAATTAGACATGCATTTTCTATTACAGCAGAAAAATTACTGCTACTTATGGAACATTAAGAATCTGGCAAATACATTCCACACAGCTCTAATAATAATTTTACTTTAATATTAAGCATACTAATGAACTCCCTAACTGTGCGAATTATTACAGTCAAAGTACCATGAATTCAGGGAAATGTCATAACTAAACAATGATGTTCTTTTTGAGTATCTAAAACAAAACAACACTAAAAAAAAAAAAAAAAAACAAAACCACAAGTGGGGGCTAGAGATGACTTAGTGGTTAAGAGCACTATTTGCTCTTCTAGAAGACCCAGGTTCAGTTCCTAGTACCCAGTGACAGCTCACAAAAAAGATGGTCCAGAGGATCTGATGCCCAGCCACACCTATAAGCCAAAACACCCATACACATAAAAAATTAATTCATTAAAAACAAACAAAAAACAAAGCTATTCCAGGACTTTTAAAAAAACAGTTAAGATTCTCAAGTATGGTAGGGACTGAATCCAGACCTGGAACATTCTAAAACTAAAGTAAACCTTTCTTTTGTTTTTCAAGACAGGGTTTCTCTGTATAACAGCCCTAACTGTCCTGGAAGTTGTTTTATAGACCAGGTTGGCCTCGAACTCATAGGTATCTCTGCCTGTGATGAGATTAAAAGTGTGCAATAGTAGTAAACTTTTAAAAACTGCTTTCATTGCTTTATTAGAGACATGGCCTCATAACACAGCCCAGGCTAACCTCAAACTTTCAATTCTCCTGCCTACCCACCTTCCAAATGGTGGGACTGCAGCCCAGTGCCATGGCCACCTCGATCAGGAGAACCCTTCCTTAAAAGTGATTCTTAGAAAAATGGGCAGTAGTTCACAATTACTGGGTCTGACTCTGAAATGCTGCAACCAGAAAGCACTATTTTTTTTTTTTAAAAAAAAGTCACTATTTTTAGTTCACTTCTTTCAAAATAACAAGAAACTTGGTAACTGTTTCAGGAATAAAAATTCTGGTATAGGGGTACACCTAGTCCTAGCACTTAGGAGGCAGAGGCAAGTGAACCTATGTGAGTTTTAGACCCATCTGGTCTATATAGTGAGCCCCAGAGAAACATACAGCTAACTCTTACCTTACAAACAAACCAACCAACCACAAAAGACTTAATTCATTCAAGTAGGGCCAACTGATGTAGTATAGTTGGGTCTGTGGCATCACCTTACCTTACTCTCGCTGATTTCTCGTATCCATTCTTTCACCAGGTTATTTAATTTTCCCAAAATTAAAATCCTGTTGATAAAGCAATTAACAAGTTATTCACTATTACAGATTAAATTATAAATAAATGGGTCACAAGGTTCTACTTTTGTTCTTGTTTTTGAGACATGCTCTTACCACATAGCCAGGCTAACGTAGAACCCACAATCCTGACTCCCAGGTGCGAGAATTATAGTTATTTGCTACTATTTTAGGTTTTATTTCTATTTATTTACTTACTTGTTGTTTATGGATAAGGTTTTACTATATAACCCAGATGCCCACCATTGCCTCCTCAGAGCTGGGATTAATGTAATGGTGTGGGCCTGGCCTCAAAACTCACATTTTGTAAGAGATCAGAAACTTAAGAGGTTAAACACTGGCACTGATAACACTGGTTAAAATATTTCCTTTTCTCCTGACAATCCTGCATTATAACCAAGAGCCACTGGAAATTTTTTTTTTTTAAATTTTATGTGTAGAGGTATTTTACCTGCATTTTATGTCAGTATACCACACATGTGCCGTGTGCCTACAAAGGCCAGGTCAGAAGAGGGCACTGAATCCCCTAAAACTGGAGTTACAGATGGGTGAAAACTACCATGTGGAACTGGAAATTCAACCCAGGTCCTCTGTAAGAGCTGAGTGTTCTTAACTTCTGAGTCAATCTCCAGTCCCCTTCAAAAATTTCAACTGAGCTAAGGGTAGCTTAGCAGTAGAGCCTTGCCCAATGTACAATGTTTAAACCCTAACCAAAACTGTTCTGCTCCCCTACTCCCCCCCCAAAAAATCATAATTAAGGCAATAGAACTCTGTATGAAACAAGTTCTCTCTAGGGAATATCAACTTGTATGAAACAAGCAAATAAGATTCAGAGTAACCTTATCTACAAAGTAAGTGAAGAATGACTAAGACTTTACTGAGTATAAACATCTTAAAGTTCACATATACATCTTACCTGCGCTGCAGTTCCTCTTCTTCTTCAAAAACCCCAAAGGGCTTCAGAGTCTCGATGAGTTTCTGTGTTAGCAGGCAGTCAGTCTCCTTGGGGGCCGCTAAGCTGATAGGAGAGGTAATGCCATAGTGCCTCTGTGGTGGCTGCGTTTGTTGTGATCCCTGCGTTGTAACTGGACTAAAAATGGAATTGGATAAACTTTACTGCCAAAAAATTCTACAATTTGAAATTAATCAATATGACTGGAACAAGTACTTTAGTAAAAATGTACTTCTACAGTTGATCCTTGCCATGTTCCCCAAACTTGTATTTTTTTTTTTTCAGACAGGAAATGCAGGGCAACCCAGGCTGGCCATGAACCTACTTGCCTTAGCCCCAGATTGCTAGAACTACAGGCATGTATCACCATGCTCAACTCCAAATTTTTACTTTCGAAGACATTTTGCTTCACAACAAAATATATCTCTGTATACTTTGAAGTAAAATATATCAATAAATATCTCTTCCCCCAGGAATTAAAGTCACTGAAACACCAAACTAAATGGAAGAACCCATACCTACACACTGCCAGAGAGCAAGCAATACAGTAATACAGAACACACTGCTAGATAGAGTGCAATACAAAAAATAAACCTTTAAAAATGTAACAAGAAGTCCTTTTGCATTTCTAAAGCCCTAATAAACAGCTGGGGCGGGGGTAGGGCTGTTTCAACTGTGCATCTGGTATACTGTAGTTCCAGCACTCAGAAGGCAGAGACAAGATTGCCAATAAATAATCCGGCCTACACAATGAGACCTGTCTCAATAAAGGAAAAGAAAACACTATTTTTGACATAAGACACTCACTGGATGACACATACAAATCCAACTTAAAGGGAAAGAGCTGTAGTCACACTAAGTTTCTGACACTTTTAGAAAGTTATATACTTGATGAATAGTATGCACTGAGTGCCAGGACACTTTTATGTTCAGATCTACTGAGCTCTGCTTTTGTCTTCTGATACTGACAGATACAAGTGGTCCTGTTGCTGACCACTCAGCTGTATGCTGTGTCTTCTAATCACTGTGCCCTGACCTACTTATGTGTTGTGTCAGTCCATTCAGACTGCAGTCACCGTTATTGAATAAATAAGAATGTGATTTTATCTCCTACATTAAGGAACTCCCCTCTGGTCTCTTCAACCTATTCTTCTCAGGTGTGCTGCTTGCTGGGCTGCAGTGTTCCTTCTAAAAGTCACACAAACACCAAGCATTTTCTTAAAGTTAAGAAACTGAAGATTTTATTTCCCAAAATTATATAGAATCTATGATTAAGATATAGCTAATCTAACTGAATTCATGTCTTAAACATGACGTGTTTACAACAGGAATGGTAGCAAACACATGTAACTCAAGAACTCAGGAGCAGAGGCAGGAGGATAATGAGCTGCAGACAGGCTGAGATAACTACTTAGTAAGATGCTGTCTCCCGGCCTCTAATACCTCAACCATACATACTTAGCCACGGCCCACACAACTAGACCAGTTTGTTATTCACTGCTGCACTGAGATTCTCCAACTACAGTCCTCTAGACTGTACCAGGACTATACATTCAACCATAAATAATGTTTGCTTTGTTTCAGTTATGAAACAAGACTTTGTCATTTAACCCATGCTAAACTGCAACTTGTCACCCTCCTGCTACAGACTGGGAATGGTTTTAACTTTAAGCTAGAAATTCAAGTATGGAGCTTTCATAAGTGCATGCTAAAATCATGTTTTAGTGACTTTAAAACACAGTCCATCTCCATCTGTGTTGTTTCTTTGCCTTCTTCACCTTGGCTATTACCAGTCAGTTCAGTTTGAATTATTAGGAAAATATGAACACCCACTTGTGCATTTTCCAGCCCTCATCATTACCACCCACCTCGCTTTTTTTATTTTTGTTTTTCGAGACAGGGTTGCTCTGTGTAGCCTTGGCTGTCCTAGAACTCATTCTGTAGACTAGGCTGGCCTCAAACTCAGAGAGAGACTCACAAGCCTCTGCCTCCTAGAACTAGGCATAAAAACCACCACTGCCCAGTCTTCAGGTTTCTTATTATCAGGCCTACAAAAGCTTGGAATGCTCTTGTCAAGGTCACTTTACAAGTAAACCAGGAGGCGGTTCAGATTTTTATTTATTTATTTATTGGCTGTTTATTTTTCGTGACAGGATTTCTCTATGTAACAATGCTGGCTGTCCTGCAACTTGCTTTGTTGACCAGGCTGGGGCCAACGCAGAGATCTGCCTGCCTCTTTATTTAAAGGTGGTGCACACCTTTAATCCCGAGTGCTGGGATTAATTTAATCCCGAGTGCTGGGATTAAAGGTGTGCACCACCACTGCCTGGCTTGGTTCAGATTTATAAATTCACTTAAAACTGTTCAATCAGCCGGTGGTGGCGCACGCCTTTAATCCCAGCACTCGGGAGGCAGAGGCAGGCGGATCTCCGTGAGTTCGAGACCAGCCTGGTCTACAAGAGCTAGTGCCAGGACAGGCTCCAAAGCCACAGAGAAACCCTGTCT